TATGGGCACCTTACCTGAAAAGCTTCCCTTCTCATGCCTGTCAGAACCACTTATGGCTAGCCAGTTCCCCCTCCTCACATACTGTGTAGAACAGACTCTTGATCCCACTTAGATTTATAAGATATACATCAGAGAAAACACATATAGAATTGTTGTTAGATGAATTTGTATTTTCCATTCTTTTGTTACGTTTTTTTTTTAATAAAAGGAGAGGCAGGAGTGAAAAGAAAGGTTAGCTTGTTATTTTTATTTTCTTAAAGAAGCTCCCAATATTAGAAAAACAGGTTCAATGTGAAACCAGAAAACATTTATGGGGTGATGCAAAAATACAAAAAAATAAGCTTACTTATAGCTGCAATGCATGCAGGTACAGTGGGGTCTTGACTTGAGAACTTAATCTGTATTGGAAGGCGGTTCTCAAGTCAAAAAGTCTGTAGGTCAAGTCTCCATTGACCTACAGTGCATTGAAAACCGATTAATACCGTAACAGGCCATATTTGTTCCATTTTGGGTTTTTTCTGGTCTATAAGTGAATTCTCAGGCTGCAAGCCAAACCTAAATTTTGCAGCCAGAGAAGTCTGTAACTCAAAAAGTCTGTAAGTCAAGCCGTCTGTAAGTCAAGGGTCCACTGTATGACTGCAACACAATTCTTTACCTAAAATGTTGCTTTTGTTTATATTTAGGGTTAATGGTCTTCCCCTCTTCAGCAGGTGGGAGGTATTGTTGTTACCTGGCACCAGCAGGAAGAGGTATGGATATTTACCATAAAACAAGGACCAAATGGCTATACAAACAAACAGATAAAAGCCAATCCCACTCCTAAATTCATCTATGAAATGCATAGTTAAAACATAAGAACAACACTGTTTAAAGAGCCAATGTACCATATTGGCCTATTTCTGCCTTCACTATAACATGTATTTTCTATTTGAAGCAGGAGTCCTCTACAAAGTGATGAGGCCATTCTTTTGTTGGAGAAAATGTCTATGCTACCCAATGATTCCATAAAACTGTGATCTAAAAGTACACAAGAAAAGTAATCTGAATCCCTGAGAGAGGGAGATAAGACAGAGCAGAGATTGCCCTCACTGGTGGAGACTGGTTTGGTTGGCACATCAGAACAAACCTGATGGGGAAAAAGGCCTGTCCAGCAGTCTGTTGCCACTATGGTCAACTCTGGGAAATCCACAGCACATTCTCTCCCATGTTTCCTGGCAACCAGTCTTGATGGACATACCTTTGATGGGGGGGGGGGTTAATATATAGCCATCATGACAAGCAGCCTTTGAGAACCTGATCCTCTGTGAATTGTCTAATCCTTCTTTGAAGCCATTCAAATTGGTAGTTGTAGTGGACACCCTGCCTTCCCATATATGTAATGGTATTAGCCTTCACCAATGGGAGCTGTTGGGAGGCGGAACCAGAGAAACCAGAAGGGAGCGGTGATCAGAGAAGAGAGGTTTGGTCATTTTTTAGTGAGTTCAGTCAGAGTCAGAGATGAGAGTCTGAAGTAGAAGTTAGTCTGTGGTAGTTAGAGAGGATAGCCGAGTTAGGAGTTAAGAGTGTGGAACTTATAGAGAGCTAAAAGAGTTAAGGGTGAAACAAGTTATTACTAATCTAATGAATACAGTGGTGCCTCGCTTGATGACGTTAATTTGTTCCAACGAAGATCCTCCATAGGGGCGGCCATTTTCAGTGCCTGTGCAGTGAGGAATCCATCCCTAAGCACAGCAGGGGAGCATTTTCTTCAGCAGGCGGGCATTTTGAAATCCAACGATCAGCTGTTTTTGATCATCGTAAAACGAAAATCGGTTCCTGAAGCAGGGAACCGATCATCGCAAAGCGGAAAAACCCCATTCAAACCATTGTTTTGCGATCGCAAAAGCGATCTCAAAAACCTCACCATCAAGCGGGTTCGTCGTTAAACGGGATAATCGTAAAGTGGGGCACGACTGTACATTAAAGTCTGTAAAGAACCTGTTTAAGCAAACTGCAATCAATAAACCTGTGTTATTCAACTTTATACTCAGCTTGTACCTCAGACTTTCTAATTAAAGGATGCTGACAGAGGTTGACTGGTGGCAGCAGAAAAAAGAGAGCATGTCATGGGCCTCAGGCTAGTGAAACAAGCAGGGGCCACGTGGGTAATCGTTACAGTAGTCACTGCACATCCAGCCTGGAGGCACAAGTAATGTCCACAGAAAGCTTTATGGGGCATCCAAAAGGCAGTCAAAAGGCAGATCAGGGAACAGGGATGCAGCCTGTGCTGGATGGGGTGACACTCCCCCTGGAAACCCAGGTGCACAGCCTGGGGTACTCCTGGATTCGTCTCTGAGTCTGGATGCCCAGGTTTTGACTGTCACCAGGAGTGCATCTGCACAGTTAAAAGTTGTATGTCAGCTGTGCCCATTCCTGGAGAGCTCTGATCTGGCTACAGTAACACGTGCCTTAGTTACATCCCAGCAGGATTACTGTAACACATTCTACATGGGGCTGCCCATGGAAAGTGCTGGGAAAAACACAGAAGCCATGTTGCTAGCTGGGGCTGGACCCAGGCATCACACAACTCCCCTGTTACAGCAAATCCACTGGTTGACAATCCATTTCCGGGCAGAATTTAAAGGGGTGGTTCTAAATGGCTTGGGTCCAAGCTGTCTCAAGGGCTGCATCTCCCTTTATAAGCCTGCTAGAGTATTAAGATCTACAGGAGATGCCTTCCTCTCAGTCCCACCACCTTCAAATATGTATTTGGTGGAATGTGGGAGAGAGCCTTCCCTGTTGCTGCTCCCAGGCTCTGGAACTCCCTCCCACAGGAGGCTAGGCTGATCCCATTATTACTGCCCTTCCACAAGCAGACAAAACTTTCCCTGAGTGAATGGCTGCCAAGTGGGGGTTTTAAATGGACTGTTGTGCCTTACAGCAGTGGTCCCCAACCTTGGGCCTCCAGATGTTCTTGGACTACACCTCCCAGAAGCCTTCACCACCACCTCTGCTGGCCAGGATTTCTGGGAGTTGAAGTCCAAGAACATTTGGAGGCCCAAGGTTGGGGACCACTGCCTTACAGCATTGAAGGTTTTTTTGGTGTTGCTTATGTTTTTTTTATATTGTATTCATTGATCCTTTTTGTATTGTATACTCATTATTACTATATTAAATACTGTAGTGCCTTTTAATTATTATAAGCTGCCTTTGGTCCTTTTTAATGAGAAAGGTGAGTTACAAATATTGTAAATAAGTGATAAAATAAATAAAATTCTCAGGATTGTGTGGGGATGGTTTGGGGCCTGTTGGCTACAGACACCCTCCATTCCCTCCCATGTTGGGGATAACATGAGTATTTTCCCTCTCACTGATGTCAGTGAGAAGAGGTGGGTTTTTTTTGTTTTTTTTTTTGAAAAAGCAAGAGAATATCTGGGAGAAAAACAGAAAGAAATCAGAAGGGCTGTAGACATGGGACTAGTATCAAAAGAGACCTCTATTTCTCCCCCATTTAGGATTATTCAATGTTTCCATTCCAGTTTTTCCATGGCGTCCAATATTCATTAAATGGAGTTTAGCTTTGTCATTCTACCTTATCTTTAGGATCTCTAATATTGTTGTAATCATTATTCATATTACTCCTTTAAGCTGATGTTACATGCTTGGTAGAATCGACACCATCGGCACCAATAACTCAGTTTTATACCTCCTTTTTCAGCTCATTTGTTCCAAATTATTCTTTTCCTTTGTATAAAGGAGAGCATTTGCCATTGATTTTTTTCTACCAGATGCTAATTAGCTAGCTGCCTATGGTTATATGAAGTTTCAAGGTGATTCAGGCTGTTCCATGAGAAGAAGAAAATAACCTAAAATGGAAGGTGCCATCAGGGGAACCATTATTGTGCTTTACTCTCACTGACTGCTTTATCAATAGGTTAAAACAGATAAAGACATTCTGAACTCAGGATTAGCATATTCTGCACATGGTTGTCTCCCTCTTCTTCATGCTTCAACACATTTTGAAGTAATTCAACCCTCAAACATATCCCAGCGTCAAAGAGTTAATATTTGGGAGCACAGCTCGAAGTGTTACTATTTGTGGGTACAAATCTCAGAACCATCCAATGGCCATGCAGACTGGGGAATTGTCATCATCCAAAACAGGGACTTTTCAAAGCCGTGATCCATGCTAACAAAACATTGCACAACCACATTTAAACAACAGTGGTTCATCTAGTCTACTCACCTATGCTTCTCTATTTATCTGATCATTGAAGTGCTGTTTGATGTGATGAGTCAAAAGGGACTTTAGTGAAGAGTCAAGTGGCCAACTGCAACTCTGGAGGAAAAGACTTCTCTACTGCCACTTCTCAGAGGCCCCCTACAACCCACTTCTATGCATATTTACTCAGACGTAAGTCCCACAAAATTCAACTGGACACAGCTTAGAAAGTGAGCATTGGATTGCAGGCCTGGATATACTGCAGACCATATTAGGCTGTCAGCATTAGATGTTGTCACAATGATTAATGACAGCTGTGATTGCATTACTACACATTTTTAGTAATGCCAAGGCATTAAGGCATATTTTTGCTTGGTAGCAAGCCTTTTTTGAAGACTGGGTGGTGAATAAAATACAGGAAGCTGTGATAGGAGCAAGGAACAAAACTGAACAATAAAATCACTATCCAATAATTTCATGATTACAAAGCTTGATACAAAGCCCAAAGAACCACGGTTGAAATACCCACTCAAACAGCTCATGGAGTCACTCTTGGTATAACCAGCTTCACAGGGATATAACAATGATAAAAGGTAAGGAACAACCATGTACAGCATGAACAATTTGGATGGAGGAAGGAGGAAATAAAATGTGCATAACTTAGGCTGCAATCCTGCACCCACTTACCTGCGTTAAGTTCCACTAAGTTTAGTGGTGCTTACACTGGAGTGGGTGTATATAGTACTGGACAATATATATATGAAATAACTGAAAGAAAAGGAAAAAAATACAAACCTACCAGTCCAGATCTTAGAAGGTGACGTCTTATCCTAGTGTTGCTGAAATAGCCTGCAAGGTGCTTGTCTGTTAGGCTGTTGTAATTTGCAAGGGATCTGAAACAAAATCATACTATTATTAGTTCTAAGAACCCAGATAATCATATACTGAAAAATACAAGGGATCAAAAGAATCAGAAATATCAGTATTACACTTTTTAAGACTAAGATTGCCTCTACACTTTGCCCTGACAATTGTGTTTACTATGCGCATGCTACTATACCTATAGCAGAGCAGTGAAGGCTATAGTGCTCTAGATCAGTGGTCCCCAACCTTAGGCCTCCAGATGTTCTTGGACTACAACTCCCAGAAGACTTACCACCACCTCTGCTGACCAGGATTTCTGGGAGTTGAAGTCCAAGAACATCTGGAGGCCCAAGGTTGGAGACCACTGCTCTAGATATTGCTAGACTCCAGTTTCCACCAGACCAGCTAATGATGAGGGATGAGAGGTATTGGAGGTCATCAATATTAGAGAGTCGCAGATTCTAAGTCCTTTCTCACAGTGGCATGGGGGAGAGAATGTTTGAACCAGTACATGTGTCTTTAAACAGCTTCCATGGGCCAAACACTACTTAAAATGGGTGCCTCAGGATGTTTTGCTGCTAAGAGCCCTTTAAGGATGTGTTGTGGTAAAAACATGGCAGAGGTAACTGGAAATGCATCTCTTCCAATTCCAAACAACCAAAAGAATGGTGCATATAGATGCAGTTATTGGCTTAGCCTCAGTTACCCTCTATTTTCTTACCTGCATTATTAGCCCAATGACTTTGAAAGGAGTTGAAAAGCTATTAGCTTGCTGAGTCATAGCAAACAAGGGAGCTCTTCTAGAGAAAGGGCTCTATATCAGAAAAACATGATAAAGGCAAAAGACTTAACAGGGAGAAAAGACTTACAGGAAGTTTATTTCTGGTTTCACAATAATCCCACAGGTAGGTTACAGCAGATAAATTAAACTTTAAACAGTCAGTTTAGTTTGCCATGTCGTACTTGGTGATTAAACACTGGTGCTATAGCAACTGTTTTATATTACTTCCTTTATTCTGTAGCTTGCATTTGCATCTGAAACTGCTGGATTACAGCAATTATGCCAAGTATTGACGTATACAATGCCGCTTGGCACTCATGTGCTGCCTTAAAGAGTACAGATTAATCTTAACCTTATACTCTTTCATTTACTTCCTTCTGTGTATTTCATGACCCAGATAAGAAGTTAAAACACAACTAATCTCAGGTATCCGGAGAACTAGAGCAACCTTAGCTGCCAATCCTTGTAGAATCTTGTTTCATTTCAATTGTGAGCAGTCTTTCTTTAGCAAAATATCTAGCTGAATTAGAGTATCAAATGAGCACCTGATTGAAAAACCAGCTATAGCGTTACAATACTCAATAGAACATGTCACCTCCCAAACCCCATTTTTCTTGCTTGTTACAACTAATTTCAAAAGAAATGACAGCTATGGATAGTTGCACTGCTACACTTTGCTTCTCACCTGCCTAAAACTCATCAGAGATTATAGCCTGAAAAGTATGGATTCAACCTGTTTTTTCCATTTTGATTCCGATCTTTATTATGGTCACAGACCAGCAGATATATTCAAATATTATTATTATAGATATTAATATAGCGCAAAAGTACAATTAAAAATATACTGCCTATTACAATATGACTAAATTTAATAGAATCTACATAGTTTCACAGAACTGAGGAGATGGTGGACAATGCACCTATTACTAAACATCTGCCATTGCTTTAATTGGTGCGAGAGAACAGTGACACTTCATTGCTGCCACGCAGAACTTCACCACTGCTTTAGTTATATCAGATTTTTTTGTCTGAGAGTAAGAGTGCAACATAAAATTCTCTGAACCTCCCTTGAAATTGTGGCCGAATTGGTTGGATGAGATCCTTCCAAATATCATGATAGGAGGAGCATTTTAAGAGGACATAATCAGTACTTTCGATTTCCACCTCATTGCAAGGGCACATTCAATTAGCGACTGGCAAACCCTGATATCTAGAGTCATAGGGTTGGAAGAGACCACTGAGGCCATCCAGTCCAACCCCCCATCATGTGAGAACATCCATCAAAGTACTCCCAACAGATGGCCATCCAGCCTCTGCTTAAAAAGCTACAAAGAAGGAGAGTCCACTACCCTTTGAGGCAACCTATTCCACTGCCAGACAGCTCTGACTGTCAGGAAGTTCTTCCTAATATTCAGATGGCATCTCTTTTCCTGTAGTTTGAAACCACTGCTCTGTGTCCTAGTCTCTGGAGCTCTGGAAAACAAACCTGTCCCCTCTTCAACATGACATCCTTTCAAATATTTAAACATGGCTATCATGTTCCCTCTCAGCCTTCTTTTTGTAAGGCTAAACATTCCCAACTCCCTAAGCCGCTCCTCATAGGACATTGCTTCCAGATCTTTGACCATTTTAGTCTCCCTCCTCTGGACATGTTCCAGATTGTCAACATCCATTTTGAATTGAGGTACCCAGAACTGGACACAATACTCCAGGTGAGGTGTCACCAAAGTAGAATAGAGTGGTACTATCATTTCCCTTGATCATCCTATTGATACAACCAAGAATCACACTGGCTTTCTTGGCAGCTGCACCACACTACTAACTCATGTTCAGCTTGTGCTCTACCAAGACTCCTAGATCCCATTCACAGGAACTGTTGTCTAGCCAGGTGTCTTCCATCCTATATCTGTGCAGTTCATTTTTTTCTGCCCAGCCGCAGGACCTCACATTTCTCTCTGTTGAAATCCATTTTGTTAGTTGTGGCCCAGGAGTCTAATTTGTCAAGGTCATTTTGAATTTTAATCCTGTCCTCTAGGGAATTAGCAACCCCTGCCAATTTGGTATTATCTGCAAATTCAATCAATATATTCTCTATTACTTCATCCAAGTCATTGATAAAGATATTGAATAAGACAGGACCCAGAACAGAATCCTGGGGCACCCCTCTAGTCACCTCTTTCCAGGACGAAGGGGAGCCATTTGTGATCACCCTTTGGGTTCGGTCAGTCAACCAATTACAGATCCCTCTAACAGTAGAACTATCTATCCCACATTCTACTACCTTCTACCTGTCTATCTAGACAGAAGTACATTAAACCTAGCTGGCATAAAAGCTTTCCTAAATGTTTTTCCATTAATATTCACAAATTTGCTGTTACTATCCAAGTTGTATAGCATGTAGTTGCCAACTGGCTACAATGAACCACCTGGTATGATGAATATACTGGTGTTTCTTATGCATACCCATATCTCCACACAAGTACCCCCATTCTCTCCTGTGTGAAACAATGTTCAGCACACAGAGGATATGCATTTGGGAGCACGAATGAGTATGAGGCAGATGTGAATCCATTGGAACCTTAATCACTTTGGCAGGTGTGTAATTCCCAGGGTAAACTACAAGTTTATGTAGATTCCTTTCTATGTGCTTCTACACATTTCCATGCACACCCTTCCCACACAATGATGTGTTAACAAAAGACCATATGCCCACATATCTTCACTTATCTCCTTCCCCATATGTTTCATACAGTGGGCTATAATACAGGAACTTATTTAAACCAAAGAGACACATACAATTAGTAAGTGTTGGAGTTTTGAATTTCTTTGTTAAACTCCCTTTTCTGCTATGTAGAAATATGGAGACCCACAGAGAGAATAGCTATAAATTCCCCAGAGTCGACCCCTTTCCTGTTAACTAGCACTTAAGGCTCAATAACTCACTCTGAGACATTTATAGGAGAAATAATTTTAAAATGTCTCTAAAGTTGCTTGAAGTTACAAACGTGTGTATACTGCTTTCTTTACTGTACAACATATTAGCAACCAACTGAACAAATCAACAGCAACAAAACCATTGTCACTAACTGATGAGATAAATGAGCAGAACACTCAATAGAGAGGCAAGTCTCTGAAAATTTCAAAAGCTGGAAGGAATTATTGGTTATTGCTGGGTAGATAGTCAATCATCCCAATCCAGAAAAGTTCATCCCAGTTACTCAAACCACAGACAGCATGCAAGGTTGTAAATAAAACTCCAACATCCCTTCTCAAAGTCACATGCAGTCACATGGTCTTGAAGTCCCATCTTGCTACTTGATTTCTGGAAGGGGTCTCTTGAAAGAGGCTTTGTCAGGATCTCTGCTGCCATCACTATGGTGTGACAGTAGATCATCTTGATGATGCCTCTCTCTGTCAGATCACACAACAAGTGGTATCTCCTGCCAATGTGTCGAGTCGCTCCACATATAGCTCCTCTGCAATGTTCCCATATAAAAAATGCATGTACAGTGGTGCCTCGCTTAACGAGCGCACCGTACAACGACGAAATCGCAAAGGGATCGCTAATGCGATCGCTCAACGACTTTTAGATAGGGCGAAACTCGCTTTGTGAAGATCGGTAAGCGTTTCGCTTACCGATCTTCGCAAAACGAAGCCCCGACAATCAGCTGTTCGGTGGACAAAATGGCCGCCGGAAGCCCCAAAATGGCCACGCGCGTTTTCGCGTCCTCCCCTCGCTTAACGAGGGCGCGAAAATGGCTGCCGGCCATAGGAAGCATCGCTGAACGGTGAGTAAAGGAGCCTTTTGGAACGCATTAAATGATGTTTAATGCGTTCCAATGGCTTTCCCTGTCCCGTTCAGCGATGTTTCGCTATAGCGAAGGTTAATCCGGAACGGATTAACCTCACTATGCGAGGCACCACTGTATTTGAAATGTAGGTGCTTGACTTGCATCTTTCTGGAGGCTGCGCCATTCAGAAGTATTATTATTGTGCTGTGCTTGACAAGAGGAGCAAAAGCTTCATCTAAGTCTTCATATTTCTGTAGGAACCGTTCCTAAATTGAGCAACAGAACACTCAGTCTTGCCTTGCAGCACTCCACTCCACCATTTTCACCTTGTTCCAACTTGAATACCGCATGGACATGATGGTTTTCTTGCCTGGTGGTAGCTTAGTCAGCATCCATGTCTCATTTTTGTGCAGTATCTGATGGCTTGTTCTGGGGCATTTTCTAACATAGGTGCCTC